AGATATAGTGCTATAGTGCTATAGTGAATGTGAACATGCTCTGACCTTAACAAACACCCTGCTCCCCCTAGTGGCACCCGCTTACTTCCAAGGTGGGCTTTTTCCAAGCATCCCTAAGGTCCTGGCAGTAATCTAAGCCAGCAAAAAACTTCTTCAGCAAAAACTCATTTTAGTAGCTGCTGCTGCTGGGGTTGTTGGTTAACCCCGGTGGGTCTGGAGGCTGGCCCTGGTGATCATATTACAGAGCTGCTGATTGGCTCTAGTTAGGCACGTGATGACAAAAAAAAAGTTTTGATCTGTGTGAACTGGAAACAACAAACCATTCCTTCTGCAAGGGTATGTCTTTATAGCTTGGAGCACAAAGGCAGTGCTAGCAAGAGCTTGGTTGAAGAAAAAAGAAAAAAAAATACATTTTACAGAACTCTGGCTTGCTTCTTTGAAACTTATTTTTCTTATTTAAAAAACCCAGTCGGGGACTGGCTGACTCAACACCTGTAATCCTAGCTACTCAGGAGGCTGAGATCTGAGGATTGCAGTTCAAAGCCAGCACAGGCAGGAATGTTAGTGAGATCCCTTTTTTTTTTTTGGTTCCGGTCATGGGGCCTGAACTCTGGGCCTGGGCGCTGTCCCTCAGCTCTTCAGCTCAAGGCTAGCGCTCTACCACTTGAGCCACAGCGCCACTTTCAGCTTTTTTCTTTTTGCTTATGTGGTGCTGAGGAATCGAACCCAGGGCCTCAGGCATGCAAGGCAAGCGCTCTACCACTGAGCCACCTTCCCAGCCCTAGTGGGACCCTTGTCTCCAATTAACCACCAGAAAACGGGAAGTGGCCCTGTGGTTCAAGTGGTGGAGCACTTGCCCTGAGCTGAAGAGCTGAGATGCAGTGCCCAGGCCCAGAGTTCAAACCCCATGACCAATTTAAAAAAAAAAAAAGATCCAAAGACCATTCTTTAAAAATTGTTGATCTTGGACTGGGAAGGTGGCTCAGTGGCAGAGTGTTTGTCCTGCATGCATGAGGCCCTGGGTTCGATTCCCCAGCACCACATAAGCAAAAAGAAAAAAAAGCTGGAAGTGGCGCTGTGGCTCAAGTGGTAGAGCGCTAGCCTTGAGCTGAAGAGCTGAGGGACAGCGCCCAGGTCCAGAGTTCAGGTCCCACAACCGGACCCAAAAAACAAAACAAAAAAAACTGTTGATTTGGACTGGGAATGTGGCTTAGAGGTAGAGTGCTTGCCTATAATGCATGAAGACTTGGGTTTGATTCCTCAGTACCACATAAACAGAAAAGGCTGGAGGAGCACAGAGAGGCTCAGGGAATTGAGTTCAAACCCCAGGACTAGCAAAAACAAAACCTCTATATTTTCTGTACCTTTTTTTTTTTGGTCAGATGTAGACTCTGGATCTAGACACTGTCCCTGAGCTCTTTTGCTCAAGCCTAGCATTCAACCACTTTGGGCCACACAGCTCCATTATCAGTTTTCTGGTAGTTAATTGGATATGAGTCTCATATGCTTTTATGCTTAGGCTGGCTTTGAAGTATGATCCTCAGATCTCAGCCTTTGGAGTAGCTAGGATTACAGAGGTGAGTCCCAGCGCCCAGCAATTTTCTGTATCTTAAGAAAAGGTTGGAGCCCAGTACCAGTGGCTCACGCCTATAATCCTAGCTACTCAAGAGGCTGAGATCTGAGGATCATGGTTCAAAGCCAGCCAGAGCAAGAAAGTCCTTGAGACTCTTATCTCCAATTAAAAAAAAGCAGAAAAAAAAAAAAGAAAAAGAATGTCATGGACTTTCCTTCTCTGGGCAGGCTTCAAACTACGATGCTCATGGCCAAGCAAGAAGGCTAGTTTTTTTTTTTTTTTTTTGCGGGTCATGGGGCCTGAACTCTGGGCCTGGGTGCTGTCCCTCAGCTCTTCAGCTCAAGGCTAGCGCTCTACCACTTGAGCTATAGTGCCACTTCTGGTTTTTTCTGCTTATGCGGTGCTGAGGAATCAAACCGAGGGCCTCAGGCATGCAAGGCAAGCACTCTACCACTGAGCCACCTTCCCACCCCCAAGAAGGTTAGTCTTGAGCAAAAAAGCTCAGGGACCATGCTTAGGCCCTGAGTTCAGGCCCCAGGACCAGCACAGTAAAAAAAGAACAGGACAGCTTTATACAAAGCAGGAGAAAAGGCAAATGAAATGAAAACATAATAAGTAAACAGAAGGTGACTGTGGTATTACACTGAAAACAATTACCTGTTTTCAAAATATTTCAAATTCAATTACACTAGATTTTCGTTTCTTTCTTTCTTTTTTTTTGGTTGGTGGTGGGGCTTGAACTCTGGGCTTGGACACTGTCCCTGTGCTCTTCAGCTCAAGGAGTGCACTTTACCGCTTGAGCCACAGCACCACTTCCAGTTTTCTAGTGGTTTTTATTGGAGATAAGAGTCTCATGGAATTTCCTGCCTGAGCTGGCTTTGAACCGTGATCCTCAGATCTTAGCCTCCTGAGTAGCTAGGATTACAGGCATGAGCCACCGGTGTCCAGCAGATTTTATTTTCCTATGAATATTATACTTCTAAGAAGTGAATACTATTTGATTGGTTTGTAATTGGGATTATTAGGAAGGCTTGATTGGCTAAAGATAATCTGATTTTTTTTTTTTTTTTTTGGAGGGGGCGGTCCGGTCGTGGGGCCTGAACTCTGGGCCTGGGCGCTGTCCCTCAGCTCTTCAGCTCCTCAAGGATAGCGCTCTTGAGCCACAGTGCCACTTCTGGCTTTTTTCTTTTTGCTTATGTGGTGCTGAGGAATCGAACCCAGGGTCTCAAGCATGCAAGGCAAGCGCTCTACCACTGAGCCACCTTCCCAGCCCAGATAATCTGATTTTTAAGATAATCAGTTTTTTGGTTTTTGCCAGTCCTGGGTACTGTCCCTGAGCTTCTTTTGCTCAAGACTAGTATTCTACCACTTGAGCCGCAGTGCTACTTCTGGCTTTTTCTGTGTATGTGGTACTGAGGAATCGAACCCAGGGCTCACTAAGCCACATTCCTAGCCAGTTTTTTTTTTTTAACCCATACTTTTCCAGCTGAGAAAATTAGCACAAATCTATAGTTTTCTTTCTTCAAATAATTCTAATTTTGTAACACACTAGTATGAATGTATCATAAAACCCACTGTTTAAAATTTATAAGCACTCTGATATTTCCTGAAATATAGTAAAACTGATTTGTATTTATCATCCACAATCATGGAAAAGCTCTAAGTGAGGTTGCAGGGGGAAATGAAGAGGTTGATTGTCTTGTTTTGTTTCAGTGCTGCAAGCAAAACAAAACAAAACAAAATTCCAAGGATTTAGGAGGCTGCTCTTCATGTGACCAGTGCATGCCACAGGGACACCATTCCTCCATGTAATAAGCAGGGGGAAATCAGAGGACTGAGGAATGCATTGTTTTTTCAGCCCCCTCCATCATAGCATGACTAAATCCAGGCAGGATTTGTAGAGTTGCTAATAAGAACTGTTTTTACAGAATACTGAGGCCAGATGTAGTAACTGAGTAAACGCATTGATAATCAGTCCTTGTTTACTTTCGGCCATAAACTGGGAGACAGTCATTTGTATCCCTGTTTTTTTTTTTTTTTTTTGTAGTCTTGGTGCTTGATGAACTCAGGGCTTGGATGCTGTCCCTGAGCTTCTTTTTGCTCAAGGCTAGCTCTCTACCACTTGAAGGCCCAGCACGGCTTATGGCAGAGAGATGGAGGGGGGGGAGAGGGAGAGTGTGAGTGTGTGTGTGTATGTGTGTGTGTGTGTCAGGTATTGGTGGTGGCTCAGGTCTATTATCCTACCTACTGTGGAGGCTGAGAGCTGAGGATCGCAATGGGAAGCCAGTCGGAAGACCATGATACTCTTCGACTCCAATTAGTCACCCCCCAAAAAGCGAGAAGTGGAGCTGTGGCTCAAGTGGTAGAGAAAGCTCCAGGCCTGAACCCTGGCCCTGAGTTCAAGTCCCAGTACACACACACACACACACACACACACACAGAGCAAAGCGTGCATGAGTACGCTTTGTTACACGCTCACCCACAGCCCTGCAGCGCCAACCAAGGTGATCGCCCCCCCCCCCCCCCCCCCCCGCTTGAGGGGTGCACGCCGCCCGTGTGACGGCAGGCCCCGGCCCGCCCTGGGGGCGCTCCAGGCCGGACCCACGCCGCCCCGAGCAGGGCTGCGGGCCGGGGGTGGAGCCTCGGGGCTGGCTCTCCCCTCCCCCTCCCCCGCCTGAGCCCGGCGCGGCCCCCACCTTTGTGCTCCAGCAGCCTCGGTTGCTATGGGAACGCTCCCGGCCCGCGGGCGACAGCCAAAGTCGCTCAGACTTGGTGTGTGTGTGTGTGTGGGGGGGGGGGGTGTTGCCCCGCTCCCAAATTAATTATTTGCCAGAAAGGAGCCTGTGAGGTAGATGCGTTGTGAGGACTGCGGGGGGGAAACCAAGGAGGCCGGACAGCTTTCCCCGACAGACAGACGCTCCCACCTACAGCATTAACGGTTCTGCCCACCAGGGAAGAGGGGCGGGGTGTTGGTGGTGGCCACGCCCACAAGGGGCGGGGAACTAAGCTCTAGACCACGCCCCCCACCCCACCCCGACCTGCAGTCTAACCGAAACCAAGTCGGCGAGCGCGGTGGAGTCAGGCTGCGAACGTCACAGGAAGGCCTAGAGCGCGGCGTGTTCCGCAGGCTGGCGTCTCTCCAGGCTGCGCCCCACCTTTTTTTTCTCGGTTGGTTCTGCGCCTGCGCGTAGCCACCTTTCCACCACCACCACCCCCCCCCCTCCCGCCCCTGCCGAACTCGGGCGGAGCAAACACTTGAGTCGGGGCCGCGCGCTGAGAGAGAGAGAGAAAGAGAGAGAGAGAGAGAGAGGAGAGAGAGAGAGAGAGAGAGAGAGAGAGAGAGAGAGAGAGAGAGAGGAGCGGGAGGGGACGGGCGCGCGCCTCTGGAGTGACGCCAGGGAGCAGGCGAGTCGGGAGGATCGGGAGGGTAGAGGGGCCTCGTCGGCTGGTGGAGTGGGCGGTACCTAGAGCCGCTCTGGGAACCGGGGGCTCCCAGCTCACTGATCCTGCTCGATTCTAGGAACAGATCCGGGGCAGGGGAAGACGAGCGCTTAGGGTTTTAGGGGTGCTTCCGCCGCCGCCTCTGGCGCTCCCACGACGACTCCCGCCGCCGCGGCCAAGTCGGCCTGTCAGTTCGCCAGCCCGCGCTGAGCGGGTCCTGCGGGTCGGGGTAAGCCGAGCCTCCGGGGCGGAGGGAGGGGCGTGGAGGGAGCGCGGGAGGCCTTCGGGGCCTGCGGGAGGGCGCCGCCTGGGGGGCGTGTGTGTGTGTGTGGGGGGGGGCTGGGTTCGCACCCCACGGCTCCACACACTCGCCGGGACTCCACGGAACGCCTCCCGTGCCTGACACTGCGGTCCACTTCTCCCGAGGTGCGCGGTTAGAAACCTGTTTTACAGGATGGGGAAACGGAGGCACGGGAAGAGGTTAAGCGACGACGTGCAAGGTCGCACTGCGTGGACGTTACCTGCCTCTCCAATTTCGGGGATGTCTGGCCTGAAGCCCTGTACATGAAAAGAGATTTAAAAAAAGTCTTTCCCCGTCGTGGGGGGGGCCCGCCTGTGACTCACTCCTGGACGTCTCCCCACTCAGGAGGCTGAGATCTAAGGATCGTGGTTCCAAGCCAGCCCTGGCAGGGAAGTCCCCGAGACTTGTATCCCCAGTTAACCACAAAAAAAGGCAGGAGTGGAGCCGCGATTCAAGTGGTAGGGCTCTAGCCTTGAGCACAAAAGCTTGGGGACTGCCTCAGGTCTGGCAGAAAAAAATAAAAATGTGTTTGCCCTCCAAACCGTAGAGCATGGATACATGGGATAACTTGTTAAGAGATGGGAAAAGGAAGGACCTGAAGGGAACTGAAAGAGAATGAGGATCTGAGATTGCTAGGTGGGAGGGGCAGGTTTGGAACTCTGCGGCCCCCCCCCCCCCCCCCCCCCCAGTCTCCTTCTCCTTTTTGGTTCTTGAGACCGCACGTTGCTCAATAAACTGGAACCAGAGGAGCTAACTGACAGACTTAGGGCACCCGGGTGGTTCTAAAAAAAAAAGCTTGAATTGTGTTTCAGTTTAGGACACTGTGGGGTGGGGTGTTGGAGAACCGAAGTTGGTGATGGCCTAGGACCGAGGGGGTTCTGCTGCCATTTCTAAGTGCAGATACTTCCTTTCTTTTTGTGCCTTTGTTCAGTCTTTAGGGCAAGGAAGTGGTATTTAGGTTTAAAACAAAGTCAAGAAAAAACATAAAATTTTCTTTTCCCTAGCAAGTCTGGGACTCTGGCTGGACTGCTTGCTGGATTTTATCATCTCAGAGCTCTCTTTGAAAGTTTCCTGGATGAATTAAGGAACTGTGTTTAGAAATTTATAAATTATCAGAAGTGATTTGAACAGATGGCCCCTTCAGGATAAGTCAGGGACCTCTATAGGATTGTGTAATGTGTCTATGATGAATATCTACTCTTGCACACTTTCAACTGTAGCGCATGTGGGGGCTGGGAAGGTGGCTCAGTGGTAGAGCGCTTGCCTTGCATGCATGAGGCCCTGGGTTCGATTCCTCAGCACCACATAAGCAAAAAGAAAAACAACCGGAAGTGGCACTGTGGCTCAAGTGGTAGAGCGCTAGCCTTGAGCTGAAGAGCTGAGGGACAGTGCCCAGGCCCAGAGTTTAGGCCCCACAACCAGACCCCCCCCCAAAAAAAAATGTAGCACCTGAGGAAGTCCAGTTTATCTGTCTGTCCATCTATCCATCTGTCTGTGTATCTAATTTTTCTGCCCATCTGTGTATCTATCTGTCCAGTTTGTGCTGGTCCTGGAGTTTGAACTCTGTCTGGGCCTTGTCCTTTAGGTCCATCCCTGAGGTCCATCCCTAGCTCTCCATCCTTCTCCCCCCCCCCCCCCCCCAAGGCTGGTGCTCTATCACTTGAACCACAGCTCTACTTTTGGCCTTTTGGTGTTTAATTGGAGATAAGAGTCTCATGGACTTTCCTGTCCTGGCTGGCTTTGAACCTTGATCCTCACATCTCAGCCTCCTGAGTAGCTCAGATTATAGGGGTGAGACATGGGCATCCAGTGTTCTCAGCTTTGTGAAGCAAACACTGTATGTGACCCAAATTATCCTTAATAATTCCTTGGGACGGTGCAGAGTTTGAGATTTCCATCCTATTTCTGGGTATATCCAACACTGACAGTTTTCCCTTCAATTTTGAAGCTTATTATTGTTTATTTGCTAGTAATCCAGATGAAGTAATTAGGTTGCTCCTTGGGGTTGTGTTGTATAAATAAATGTTTGGGAGGGGTAGTCATTCTGCCCTGTGATATGCCATGTGAGATGCTTGCTTTGAGAGGCTTAAAATGAAGGAGATACCTGGGTGCTGATGGCTAACACCTATAATTCTTAGCTACTCAGGAGGCTGAGGTCTGAGGGTTGTGGTTCGAAGCCAGTTTGAGAAGAAAAGTTCATGAGACTCATCTTCAATTAAATACCAAAAAGCTGGAAAGTGGAGCTGTGGCTCAAGTGATAGAGTTTCTTTCTCCTTCTTTTTTTTTTTTTTTGTTGTTGGTTGTGGGGCTTGGGCGCTGTTCCTCAGCTCTTCAGCTCAAGGCTAGCACTCTACCACTTGAGCCACAGTGCCACTTCCGACTTTTTCTGCTTATGTGGTGCTGAGGAATGGAACCCAGGGCCTCATGCGTGCATGGCAAGCACTCCACCACTCAGCCACCTTCCCAGCCCCAGAGCTCCCTTCTTGAGCTGAAAAAAAGCTAAGGGACAACACCCAGGCCCCGGTGTTCAAGTCACACTACTAGGGCCTTGGGGGGGGGGGGGTAATAACCTAGAGAATAACATGTCTATGGTTTCTATTTTAAGCTCATTCTATAGTATGTGTTTGCTGAGAAAAAGTAGCTACCTTCCTAGTCCCTAATGCTCTACTACTTGAGCCACAGCGCCACTTTTGGTTTTCTGCTGGCTAATTGGAGATAAGAGTCTCACAGTCTTTCCTTCCTGGCTGGCTTTGAACTGTGATCCTCAGATCTCAGCCTCCTGCATAGCTAGGATTACAGGCAGGAGCCACCAGTGCCTCGCTAGCACTAAGCTTCTTTTGTTCAAGGCTAGTCCTCTACCACTTGACCCACAGTGCCACTTTGTGGTGCTGAGGAATCAAACCCAGGGCTTTGTGCATGCTAGGCAAGCACTCTACCACCCCCTCCTGGGGGCTGGGGTTGTAGTACTGGGTATTAAATAGGGTCTTGAGTTTACTGAGCTTGAGCTCTTTTACTAACCGCCTTTTCCCTAGACCCTCTTTAATATTTTGTTTGTATGTTTTTTCTTTTTTGGTTGTTTGTATGGTTTGAACTCTGGGCAGGGCCTTGTCGCTGAGATTTTTCTGCCTAAGGCACTTTGAGCCACAGCTTGTTTTTCTTGTAGTTAACTGGAGATGAGTCTCACAGACTTCCTTGCTGGGCTTGCTTTGAACTATGATCCTAGAGCTCAGCCTCCTGAGTATCTAGGATTACATGCGTGAGCCACCAATGCCTTCCCCCTCTCCCCACTTTTTTTTTTTTTTTTTGATAACTAAGCTTTTTGTACTGACTTTGCTGTATTAATATCATTACCCTGAGGACAAGTGATGTTGATTTATTTTATTTATTTACTTTTTTGTCAGTCTTGGGGCTTGAACTCTGGGCCTGGGTGCGTCCTTCAGCTCTTCAGTTCTTCAGCTCAAGGCAAGCCCTCTACCACTTGAACCACAGCGCCACTTCTGGCTTTTTGAGTGGTTTATTGGAGGTAGAGTCTCATGGACTTTCCTGGCCACGCTGGCTTTGAAACATGATCCTCAGATCTCAGCCTCCTAAGTAGCTAGGATTACAGGTATGAGCCACCAGCACGGCTCCCTGAGCTCTTTTGCTTACTTTTATTTTTTGCTAGTCCTGGGGCTTGAATTCAGGTCATGGGCATTGTCTCTGAGCTTCTTTTGCCCAAGGCTAGCACTCTACCACTGGAGCCACAGTTCCACTTCCAGCCTTTTCCGTTTATATGGTACTAAGGAATCAAACCCAGGGCTTTATTCATCGCTTAGGCAAGCACTCTACCACTAAGCCACATCCCCAGCCCTGATGTTGAATTTTATCTTTTTTATTTTTTGGGGGGGGGGAGGGGTCCAGTTGTGGGTCCTGAACTCTGGGCCTGGGCGCTGTCCCTCAGCTCTTCAGCTCAAGGCTAGCACTCTACCACTTGAGCCACAGCACCACTTCTGGCTTTTTTCTTTTTGCTTATGTGGTGCTGAGGAATTGAACCCAGGGCCTCAGGTAGGCAAGGCAAGCGTTCTACCACTGAGCCACCTTCTCAGCCCTGAGTTTTATCTTGTAGAATACTTAACTCTCCAATTTCCTCTTGAAACATATACTATAAATCATTGTATTTCTGATTGAATCATTTATACCTGACATCCTTTAGCTCTGTTGTTGAATTGCTGAAAAGTTTTTTGTTTTTTTTTTGTTTTGGCCAGTCTTAGGGCTCGAACTCAGAGGTTAGGCACTGTCCTAAGTTTCTTTTGTTCAAGGCTAGCACTCTACCACTTGAGCCACAGTGCTAGTTCTGGCTTTTTCTGTTTATATGTTACTGAGGAATCAAACCTAGGGCTTCATGCATACTAGGCAAACACTCTACCACTAAACCACATCCCCAGCCCTGAAAAGTTTCTTTGTATTATTAGTTTTAAAGTAGACATTAATAACTTTATTTCTGATATTTATTTTAAGTTTTTTTGTTTTTTTTTTTGTGGGGGAGTCCGGTCGTGGGGCCTGAACTTGGGCCTGGGCACTGTCCCTCAGCTCTTCAGCTCAAGGCTAGTGCTCTACCACTTGAGCCACAGCACCACTTCTGGCTTTTTTTCTTTTTGCTTATGTGGTGCTGAGGAATCGAACCCAGTGCCTGCAAGGCAAGCTCTCTACCACTGAGCCACCTTCCCAGCCCCTATTTTAGTTGTTAAGGGTTCAAATCAGCCAGTGGGGTTGACTTTTACCACCTTAATCCTTCATCATTTATTCTCACAAATTTGTTTAATTGCTTCCTGTTGTGTTTGGCTTTGGTTTTCTGGGAAGCTAATTGCTTTTGGAGAATGGGGGTAGGTGAGTAGAGTTCTGTGCTCTTCTTCACCATGGAGACATGGTTGTGGAAACTTGGGAGAGTTTAGATCTGATGATAGGCTTCTCCAGAGATCTCAGTATATGTAAAATTGATGATGTAAAAATGATTCCTTCACAAATGTTTCTAAGATTTGGGCTCTGTGTAAAGTGATGTGAAAGTTTGTGGTTCAAAAGGACTATTTGAGTTTTTAGAGAGCCTATAGAGAGATAACAAATTGGTCTAGGGTACTTATTTCATTTCTATGCTGAAGGCAGCTGTGGGGAAAAGTCTGCCCAGGCTGGCTTTAAACCAGATGTTCCATTTGCTAGTAGCTAGGATTACAAGTGTGAGCCACCAGCACCCAGCCTTTAATTTTATACTCTTCAAGTTAAAGAACTGTATATATCAGGCTGGGAATGTGGCTTAGTGGTAGAGTGCTTGCTTAGCATGCATGAAGCCCTGGGTTCGATTCCTCAGTACCACACAAACAGACTTTTATACCCACACAGACTTTTATACCCAGGCTGGTTTGAACCTCAGATTTTAGCCTCCTGAGTTGCTAGGATTACAGGTGTGAACCATCAGCTCCTGGTTTAAAATACTCTTTTGATGTTTTTGTTTTGGTGGCAGCTTATGCTATTATGCCAGCTTACCTGGTTTCAATATATCTTTTTAAATATAGATCAGATCAAACATTGCCTGGCTTATTCACTCACATAGCTGACGCTGACCTCTCAGATTTCTTCAGGATGCCTGCAGCCCTTGTAGAGAATAGCCAGGTTATCTGTGAAGTCTGGGCCAGCAACCTAGAGGAAGAGATGAGGAAGATCAGAGAAATCGTACTCAGTTATAGTTATATCGCCATGGTAAGTAGCTCTATTCTTGTTTGACTCACCTTCTTGGGTAGACTTAAAGGGAATGTTTTAATGTGAGATTCTAAAAAGAAATAAAGCCATGGTAAGTTAAACATAATGGAAGTTTGTGTTGTTTTTATCAAACATCAAATAGCCAGTGTTTCTGAGGAAGATGTAACCTCTATTATCATAGATTTTTTTTTTTGGTAATGTCACTATTTTAAAGTCTTTAAGCAGTTGTGCCAGCACCATAAGGGGACATGTGTTTCTCAGAACAGTTGGACTATGTGCAGGGTTTTTTAAGACTTTAAAAAACTGTCAACATTCAGAAGCCATGAGACTTCACTTAAATTCTAGATTACTGGCACCTCTGGAAGAATGGAAAGATCTGGTAATAGATGGCTCACTTTCCTGACATTGAATGGCTGGTGAGGGAGTGGGCTATCTTGGTAATGGCCCCTAAAGAGAGTCCAGTGCTCTTATTTCAGTGCCCTAGTTTTCACAGGTCACCTTTATTCCTTTCCATTTGTTGCTGAGTGTTGTGATTCTTTTTTTTTTGGTCGGTTGTGGGGCTTGAGCCTCAGGGCCTAGGTCTCTGAGCTTTTTTGCTCCAGGCTAGTGGTCCATCCCTTTGACCCATAGTACCACTTCTGGTGGTACTATGGAGATAATAGTCTCATGGACTTTCCTGCCCAGGCTGGCACTGGACCGTGACTCAGGTCTCAGCCTCCTGAGTAGGATTATAGGCATGAGCCACCAATGCCTGGCTGTGATTCTTGCTTTATAGAGGATGGCATTACACCTAGTAGTTTGGCATTCAAACTATGATCTTTTTCTAGTCATTTGATTCAAGCAGAATGCAACTTGTTTTTTGTTTTTTTTTCTGGAATGGCTATCTTGCTTACCTGCATTTGTATTTTCTTTTCTTTTCTTTTTTTTTTTTTTGTCGGTCATGGGGCTTGAACTCTGGGCCTGGGCGCTGTCCCTCAGCTCTTCAGCTCAAAGCGAGTGCTCTACCACTTGAGCTACAGCGCCACTTCCGGTTTTCTGGTGGTTTATTGGAGATAGGAGTCCCACGGTCTCTCCTGCCCGGGCTGGCTTTGAACCGCGATCCTCAGATCTCAGCCTCCTGAGTAGCTAGGATTACAGACACGAGCCACCAGCGCCCGGCTCCTGCATTTTTATTTTCATTCATATATTGTTCTCAATTCAGAATGTTCATAATTGACCACGTGTCTACGTATAGCTCCCTAATTCCTATGGCCATCTGCCTCAGGACTTTACATTGTTGGGCACAGCTTCATGTTCCCAGTGCTTCCTTAAATAGATAGACATCAGTGAGAACAGAATGTTTTTTTTTTGGTTGGTCATGGGGCCTGAACTCTGGGCCTGGGCACTATCCCTCAGCTCTTCAGCTCAAGGCTAGCCCTCTACCATTTGAGCCACAGTGCTGAGGGATCAAGCCCAGGGCCTCATGCATGTAAGATAAGCACTGTGCCACTGAGCCACCTTCCCAGCCCCTGAGAACAGAATTTTAAGATAATTTTGTTGTTGTTGTTGTTGTTGTTGGTTGTGGATCTTGAGCTCTGGGCCTGGGTACTGTCCCTGAGCTCTTCAGCTCAAGGCTAGCCTTCTTCCACTTGCCACAGAGCCACTTCCAGTTTTTGCTGTTTATGTGGTGCTCAGGAATCGAACCCAGCACCTCATGCATTCAAGGCAAGCACTCTACCACTGAGCCACCTTCCTAGCCCCAAGATAAATTTTTTTTTAAATTTTATTTTATTGTAAAGATGCTGTACAGAGGTGACAGTTACATGAGTAAGGTAATGAGTACATTTCTTATTGAGCATTGGTACCCCCGCCTTTGTTGTTCTTCCACTATCCCTTGATAAATTTTTTTTTATGCCTAGCCTCGGGCTTTATCATGTAACTTTAAACATTGAGGTAAAATTTTATTTAGAAATGATCAATTCAGCATCCACTGTTTTGTGAAACCTTATGGTAGAGGCTTTTTTCCCCTCCCAGGACACAGAGTTTCCCGGTGTGGTAGTGCGGCCAATTGGTGAATTTCGTAGTTCCATAGATTACCAGTATCAGCTTCTGCGGTGCAATGTTGACCTTTTAAAAATTATCCAGCTGGGCCTTACCTTCACAAATGAGAAGGGGGAATATCCTTCTGGAATCAACACTTGGCAGTTCAACTTCAAATTTAACCTTACGTAAGTATCTAAAACACTTCTCAAGGTCGTTCTTAGATATTCCACACCTGTGCATACTGATGTCTGGTTTTAATAAAGTTCTGTTTTCACTCAACCTCAGGTAGATGTTGGACAGAGCATGGAAACTCTCCCTTAAAGGACTTTTACAACTTGAAAGACAATTCAGAGCTATGGGGGTCTAGCTGAGTGCTAGAGCACTTTCCTAGCATGTGAAAGGCACTGGGTTCAATTCCCAGCACTGCGGAGGGAAAAAAAGAAACGACAACCCAATTAAAAATTGACAAAAGTGGGGCTGGGAAGGTGGCTCAGTGGTAGAGCGCCTGCCTTGCATGCCTGAGGCCCTAGATTCGATTCCTCAGCACCACATAAGCAAAAAGAAAAAAGCTGGAAGTGGCGCTGTGGCTCAAGTAGCTGAAGAGCTGAGGGACAGTGCCCAGGCCCAGAGTTCAGGCCCCACGACCAGACCCCCCCCCCAAAAAAAAAATTGACAAAAGTGCCAGAGGTGTGGCTCATGTGTCTCAGTGATAGAGTTCCTAGCAAGCACCAGACCCTGAGTTTAAACATTAGCATCACCAAAAGAAAGAAGGGAAAAAAAGAAAAATTAGCAGAATAGACATTTTCCCAGAGAAGATGTACAAATAGCCAAAAGCCCATCAAAACATGCTCAATAGCATTAGTCATTTTGAAACTGCAAACCAAAACTACCTTCAAATATCAAAGAGACCTGACTTAGTATACTATTTAACAATGAAAAGAAGTCAGTATAAGTTGGTAGTGGTGTGGAGAACTTGTAATACATTACACATTGCTGTTGGGAGTATAGGATTCTTTGAAAAATTTTAGAGATTAAGCATAGGTACCATATGACTCAGTGATTCTACTCCTAGGTATATGCTTAGAAGAAATAGAAGATAAGTTGATGTAAAATTGTATGCCTGCCAGGTACTGCTGGTTTATGCCTGTAATCCTAGTTTACTCAAGAGGCTGAAATCTGAGGATCAAGGTTTGAAAGTCATCCCAGGCAGAAAAGTCCATGAGACTTTTTTTTTGGGTACCAGTCTTGGAGTTTGAAATCAGGAGTTGGGTGCTGTCACTGAACTTTTGTGCTCAAGGCTAGTGCTCTACCACTTTGAGCCACAGCTCCATTTCTGGTCTTGGCAGTTAATTGGAGATCAGAGTCTCAAGGACTTTTCCTGCCTGTGTGCTGGCTTTGAACCCCAATCCTCAGATCTCAGTCTCCTGAGTAGCTAGAAATACAGGTGTGAGCCATTAGCACCCAGTTGGGGTTTCTTTTTGAGGTGGTGAAAGTGTTTGATAATGGATAGTGGTAATGGTTGTAAAACTCTGGAATATATTAAAAGCCACTGAATTTCATGAGTGAGCTATGTGATATATGAGAACTATATTTCAGTAAAACTATTTAAAATAAAATGAAGTCCCCAGTTATAATTAGACAAGTATTTAAGTGATCCTCTCATTTCTTAGCTTAATGATTTTTTTTTTTTTTTTTGCCAGTCCTGGGGTTTTGAATTCAGATCCTGGACACTGTCCCTGAGCCACAGCACCACTTCCGGCTTTTTTCTGTATATGTGGTATTGAGGAATCAAACCCAGGTTTCATGCATGCTAGACAAGCACTCTACCTCTAAGCCACCTTCCCAGCCAGCTTAGTGATGTTAGGCCACCCATTTGAGCTATAATTAACTTTCTTTGCCTATAAAACTTTGCGTTGAGTACCTGCCATAATAATGTAGCTAGATGTGGTGACATATGTTTGTAGTCCCAGCTGCTTGGGAGGCAGAGGTGGGAGTTGAAGCCATTCTGGGCAAATTTAGTATGACCTTAGTTCGAAAACAAAAGGGTTGGTGATATTTGTTTGCATGCACAAACACCTGGGTTTAATCTCCAACACTACTAAAATAAACTAATACGAGTGGGTGCTAAACCAATGTAGTTGAATCTGAAGCCTATTTGATAGTGGATTAATTTTGATATAACTAAACAAATTTTAGTAAAGCACACATAGTATAAAATACTGTTGGAAGTGGCGCTGTGGCTCAAGTGGTAGAGTGCTTGCCTTGAGCTGAAGAACTCAAGGATAGCACCTGGGCCCAGAATTCAAGCCCCATCACTGACATAAAATGAAGTATTGTGTGGGTGTGTGTGTGCACGCATGCAGGTACCAGTACTGAGGTTTGAGCTTAGGGCTTCATTTCTTGCTCTTTTCAACTCATGGCTGGTGTCCTACTAGTTGAGTCTTACCTCCACTTCTAGCTTTTTGCTGGTTGATTGGAGAGTAAGGAACCCACTTGACTTTTCTACCTGGGCTGGCTTCCAACCTCAGTCTTCAGATCTTGTCCGCCTGAGTTGTTAGGATTAAAGGCTTTTTCTAGTATGTGGCTGTAAAATGTCATTTACACATATTATGTGTTCAGTAGAGTTAAACTCTGCATTTAATTTTTTTTTTTTTTTTTTTTACTTGTTATCTTTTTTGCTGCCATGGGGCTTGAACTCTGGGCCTGGATGCTGTCCCTGAGCTCTTCAGCTCAAGGCTACTGCCACCATTGTTGAGAGACAGATTTCCAGAACTTTTTCTTTTTTTTAATCATACAATACTGAAACTGGGCCATAAATTCTTCTTTTCCCTTACCATCCAGTTCTTGGAAGACCACCATTTCATTTCTGTTTCTGATTTTAACAGCTTTAGATATCTCATATAAGATATGAGTGGAGTCACAGTGTCTTTTTTTGCTTTGTATGTATATGTGTGTGTGCTTGTGTGCTTGTGCGAGTCCTGGAGTTTGATCTCAGGACATTGACCTTGAGTTTTTGTGCTCAAGGCTGGTGGTCTACAGCTTGAGCCACAATTTCACTTCTAGCCTTTTGGTCATTAATTAGAGATAAGAGGCTCTTGGGCTTTCTTTTCTGGGTTGAGTTTGAACAACAATCCTCAGATCTCAGTCTTTTTTCTTTTCTTTCTTTCTTTTTTTTTTTTTTTTTTTTTGGGTCCGGTCGTGGGGCCTGAACTCTGGGCCTGAGTGCTGTCCCTCAGCTCTTCAGCTCAAGGCTAGCGCTGTACCACTTGAGCCACAGCGCCACTTCTGGCTTTTTTCTTTTTGCTTATGTGGTGCTGAGGAATCGAACCCAGGGTCTCAGGCATGCAAGGCAAGAGCTCTACCACTGAGCCACCTTCCCAGCCCAGATCTCAGTCTTCTAAGAAGCTAGGATTATAGATTACAGTCATGAGCCACTGGCACCTGGCTCACCGTTATATTTTCATGCATGCAAATAAGCTATGTGGGCTATTTATCCTTATTCACCCTCAGATCCTGCTTTACTTTCCTGCATTCATTTTTTAGGTGTATGTTAATGGCACCAAAGAGTTTCACTATATTTCAGACATGGATATGTTATAGTTTGTTCAGAATAACTATTGCATTCTCTTCACTCTCCCTCAGTCTGCTGTTTATCAATATCTTTCATGAAGTTTCCTTTGATTTGTCTTTTTTATTTCATTCTTTTATTTTGCCAGTCCTGGGGCATGGACTCAGGGCCTTGGCACTGTTCCTGAGCTTCCTTTATTTATTTATTTATTTATTTTTGGTTGGTGGTGGGGCTTGAACTCAGGGCCTGGGTGCTGTCCCTCAGCTCTTCAGCTCAAGGCTAGCTTGAGCCACAGTGCCACTTCCAGTTTTCTGGTAGTTAATTGGAGATAAGAGTCTCATGGACATTCCTACCCAGGCTAGCTTTGAATCGTGATCCTCAGATCCCAGCCTCCTGAGTAGCTAGGATTACAGGCATGAGTCACCAGCACCGGCCTAAGCATTGTTCTTAAGCTCAAGGTTAGCACTCTACCACTAGAGCCATATCACCACTTCTGGCTTTTTCTGTTTATGTGGCACGGAGGAATCAAACCCAGGGATTCCTGCATACTAGGCAAGCACTCTACCACTAAGCCACGTTCCCAGCCCATAGCTTTGTCTTTTTTTTGTGCCAGTTCTGCGGCTTGAACTCAAGGTCTGGGTATTGTCCCTGAGCTTCTTTTGCTCAAGGCTAGCACTCTACCACAGGCACCACAGTGTTTTTCTTGAGGAGAAAACATGAAGGAGACCATCATTTTGTTGATAGTATTAGATAAGGTTGATGTGTTATTATTGGATCCTAGTTTGTTTTTGTTGGTCATGGGGTTTGAACTTGGGGCCTAGGTGCTGTCCCTGAGCTCTTTTCTCAAGGCTAGTGCTCTACTACTTTGAGCCACAGTTCCACTTCCGGTTTTCTAGTGGTTAATTAGAGATAAGAGGCTCAAAACTTTGCTGCCCAGCTGGCTTTGAACCAGGATCCTCAGATCTCAGTCTTCTGAGTAGCTAGTATTACAAGTGTGAGCCACCAGCGCTTGGGTTGATTGATTTTTTTTTTTTTCAATTGAGGAAATTTGAATCTTTCATAATTAGAAAATTTTGTCTGGAGAAAAGTCCTATTTTTCTATCTCACAGAAATAAGATCTATTTTGTATGCTGGCTAGATAGAATGTTAGAAATAAAAACTAACCTATTTTCATTTTTTCCATATATATTTTTCCTTTTTTTGAAGGTCTTTTTTTTTTTTTTTTGTCGGTTGTGAGGCTTGAGTTCTGAGCCTGGGTGCTGTCCCTCAGCTCTTCATCTCTACTACTTGAGACATAGTACCACTTCTGGTTTTCTGGTGGTTTAGTGGAGATAAGAGTCTCACGGACTTTTCTGCCTGGGCTGGCTTTGAACCGAGATCCTCAGATCTCATCTTCCTGAGTAGCTAGGATTACAGGCATGAGCCACTGGTGCCTGGCTTTTTCCTTTTTCAATTATTATTATAAAGATGATTTATAGAGGGGTTACAGTTACATAAGTCAGATTAAAAAAATACATTTATTTTTGGACATTGTTATTCCTTCTCTTGCTCTCTCCCTGGTTTTCCTTCCCATCCCTATATATATGCTATATAGTTCATTTCAACATAGTGTCTAGTGAGTACTAGCTACATATATGTGAGTGTGTACATATACTTAAAACCATAATTTTACTGTTATTATGGTGTTGTACAATGGGATTACCATTTCATAAATCAGGTAATGAGTACTTTTTTCTGTCAGTTGTGGGGCTTGAACTCAGGGCCTGGGTGTTGTCCCTGAGCCTCTGCTCACAGCTAGTGCTCCACCACTTGAGCCACAATGCACTTAGGTTTTTGAGTGGTTAATTGGAGATAAGTGTTTCATGAGGACTTTTCTGCCTGCACTGGCTTTGAACTGAGATGTTTGGATCTCAGCCTCTTGAGTAGGATTATAGGCATGAGCCACTGGCACCTGGCTATGAGTACATTTTGGTTTTGGATAATGTCACCCCTTCTTTTTTATATAGCAATTTTTGTATTGTGATTAAGTGATTACATAAATTTCACCATATTGTAAGATAGTGATACTTAGTTAAAGTCACCAACACATCCTAACCTTCATGGGGCAAATTGTCTTTATTGTGGTCTATAAAGTTTATGAGTTCTCTGAGCTTTGACAACACAGTTATTTCTTATACATCAAGTGAAATGTACATTTCTTTCCTTTTGCTTAGTGTCAGCTGTTCCCTCTTTCCTGCTCATTCCCTCCCTCCCATCGCTGCCATTGAGTTGCTTAATTCGTTTTGATCAATGTTTAGTGTACCGATGGGTCCTGCTGTTGTATGTTTTTCCGTTTCCCTCTGTTTCTGTGTCGTCCTCCTAGTTTCCCTCCGATGTACACATACATACCATATATGTGGTCAGCAGCATGGGTCACCCCTTCTTTTCTGTTCCCATTTCCCCTTCTCATCCCTGCCCACAAGTTGCAGTTCATACTGCAGTATATGCACAGTGTATACTGAATACCATGACGGCATTTGTTCACTCTTCATGCTTCCATTTCTGTGCCCCTTTGCCCTCCTGAAAAGATAAACACCCAAAAGCAAATTTCCATATTTTTTAATAGCATATATTGTGTAAAAAAGTGCCCAAGGCTGGCATTCTAACACTTGCCATAGTATCTCCACTTCTAGTTATTTGGAGGTAAAAGTCTCTTGGATCTTTCTTTCTCTCTCTCTCTCTTTCTTTCTCTTTCTCTCTCTCTTTCTTTTTTTTTTTTGGTTCCGGTCATGGGGCCTGAACTCTGGGCCTGGGCGCTGTCCCTCAGCTCTTCAGCTCAAGGCTAGCGCTCTACCACTTGAGCCACAATGCCACTTCCAGCTTTTTTCTTTTTGCTTATGTGGTGCTGAGGAATCGAACCCAGGGCCTCATGCATGCAAGGCAAGCACTCTACCACTGAGCCACCTTCCCAGCCCCCTTTCTTTCTTTCTTTCTTTCTTTTTCTCTTTCTCTCTCTCTCCCTCCCCCCCTCCCTCCCTTCCTTCATCTATTCCCTCCTTCCCTCCCTCCCTCCTTCCTTCCTTTAAAGAACCTCAGGTTTTTCTTTTCTGTTTCTGGCTGTGCTGAGAATAGCTAGAGGCTATTCAGGAATCACTGGTGCCCAGCTCATTCCTTTTGAGAACTGTCTGTTTAATTAATTAGTCCATTTATTAATTGAATTTTTTTTGGGAGGGGGGTTGGTCATGGAGCTTGAACTCTAGTCATGGGTGCTATTCCTGTGCTGTTCAGCTCAAGGCTAGTGCTCTACCACTTAAGCCACAGCGCCACTCCAGTTTTCTGGTGGTTAATTGGAGATAAGAGTCTCATGGACTTTCTTGCCTGGGCTGGCTTTGAACCATGATTCTGATCTCAGCCCCCTGAGTAGCTAGGATTATAGGCATGAGCCATTGGCGCTTGGCTGGGTTTTTTTTTTTGGGTCCGGTCGTGGGGTCTGAACTCTGGGCCTGGGCGCTGTCCCTCAGCTCTTCAGCTCAAGGCTAGCGCTCTACCACTTGAGCCACAGCGCCACTTCCGGCTTTTTTCTTTTTGCTTATGTGGTGCTGAGGAATCGAACCCAGGGCCTCAGGCTTGCAAGGCAAGCGCTCTACCACTGAGCCACCTTCCCAGTCCTTGGCTGGGTTTTTGTATTCAACTTTTGAACTCTATATAGTCTGGATATGAATTTTTTTTCTTTCTGATGAATAGATGGCAATTTTTTTTTGGGGGGGGGGGGTCAGTCTTGGGCTTGGACTAGGCCTGTATGCTGTCCCTGAGCTTTTTTGCTCAGGCTAGTACTCTACCACTTTGAGCCTTGATTCTCTTATCTCCAGTAAACCAATAAAACCGGAAATGGAGCTGTGGCTCAAGTGGTAGACATTTGCCTTGAACTGAAGAATTGAGGGACAGCGCCTAGGCCCAGAGTTTAAGCCTCATGACCGACAAAAAGGGGATTTTTTTTTCCATTATGATGTTAGTGATAGGTTTGTTGTGTATAGACTTTATGTTGAGGTGTAGTCTAGTCTTTCTGTAAGTTTTTGTTAACTGAATTTTTGTTTTACTCCATTATGATAAGACATAGGAAATTATTTTAATTTTCTTCTGTTTTTTGACTTTGTGTCCTAAGATATGATCTATTTTAGGGAAAGTTCCTCGGGCTGCTGAGAATAATGTGTATTCTTTGCTTTGGAATATTCTACAGATGTTAAGTCCATTTGATCTGTATATCATTTAATCTAAAAGATTCCTTGTTGATTTGTCAAGTGGATGTCATCTACTGTTATTGTGTAAGAGTCTATCCTGAGCTGGGTGCTGGTGGCGCATGCCTATAATCCTAGTTACTCAGAAGGCTGAAATCTAAGGATCACAGTTTGAAAGCCAGACTGGGCAGAAAAGTCCCTGTGAAACTCTTATCTCCAATTAACTACTCAACAGCCAGAAGTGGTACTGTGGCTCAAAGTGGTAGAGCACTAGCCTTGAGCAAAACAGCTCAGGGACAGCACCCAGGCCCTGAGTTCAAGGTTCATGACCAACCAAAAAAAAAAATCTATCCTGTGCTTTTATGTCCACTAGTATTTGTCTTTCAAAATTTACATGTATGTTTATAATTGTTATTTCCTGTTGGATTGCTTATCAATATGAATTGACCTTTATCTCTTCTGACAAATTTTGATTTGCAGTGTCCTTTGTCATATAATAAGTATAGCTCTTCCTTTAGCTTTCTGATTCTATTTTCTTGGAAAAATTTCCTCCATTTCTCTCTAAGCTTACGGTTTTGTTTTTTGTTGTTGTGGGTTTTTTGTTTTTTGTTTTTTTTGGTCATGGGGCTTGAACTCAGGGCCTGGCACTGTCCCTGAGCTTTTTCATTCAAGGCTAGAGCTCTATCACTTTAAGCCACAGTGCACATCAGTTTTCTGGTGCTTAATTGGAGAATAAGAGACTCACAGATTTTCTTGCCTGGGCTGGTTTTGAACTGCAGATCTCAGCCTCCTGAGTAGAATTACAGGCATGAGCCACTGGTACCCAGTTAGGCCTATTTGTCTTTGCTAGTGAGGTGTGCTTTTTTGTAGGCAACAAGTTGTTTGAGTCTAGTCCTTTTTAATCCCATTTGCCAGTGTGTATTTGATTGGCAAATTGAGACCATTAGCATTCAGTTATTGAAAGTTATGTAGAAATGCCTGCTCTTTTATTGGTTTTGTAGTGTTTTTATTATTTCTTAACTATTTTCTTATTTTCTTTTTTTTTTTTTTGTGGGTTGTGGAGCTTGAACTCAGGGCCTGGGTGCTATTTCTGGGCCTCTTTGTGCGTAAGGCTACTGCTTTGCCACTTGAGCCACAGCACCACTTCCAGCTTTTTTGTTTTTTGTCAGTTGTGTGGCTTGAACTCTGGGCCTAGGTGCTGTCCCTGTGCTCTTTAGCTCAAGGTGAGTGCTCTACCACTTAGCCACAGCTCCACTTCCAGTTTTCTGGAGGTTAATTGGACATAAGGGTCTTATGAGGACTTCTCTGCCTGAACCACGATCCTCATAGCTCAGCCTCCTGAGTAGCTAGGATTATAGGCGTGAGCCACCAGTGCCCAGCTAATTTATTCATCTTAAATTGTATTTGTACATACCTCAAATTAGGTAGCATTTACTGTATTTAAGGTGTTGGCAGTATTACTGCTTTCTGTATCTGTTTCACCATTTTTTACCAGTTAAAAAGCAAGCACTTTGTTTTTCAGAGAGGATATGTACTCCCAGGATTCCATAGACCTCCTGGCTAACTCAGGCCTACAGTTTCAAAAGCACGAAGAGGAAGGGATTGACACTTTGCACTTCGCAGAGCTGCTTATGACATCGGGAGTTGTTCTCTGTGACAATGTCAAATGGCTTTCATTTCACAGGTCAGTCCTCAAGAACAGGCATCTCTCACCTTGGGCTGTGCTGGAGCAAGAATGGAATTGGTATCATTCTCAGTCTCACTGGCTCTGTTCTGTGCATCAGCAGCAGTTATATTTGTTGTTTGTCCTTTTAAAAACTTTTTTAGTCAGTTGTGGGGGCTTGAACTCGGCCTTGGCCCTGTCCCTGAGCTGTTTTGCTCAAGGCTAGCGCTCTACCACACTGAGCCACAGTGCCACTTTTTTTTGAGTAGTTTATTGGAGAAAAGAGTCTCACAGACTTCTTTGCCTGGGCTGGCTTCGAATTGCAATCTTCAGATCTCAGCCTCCTGAGTAGCTAAGTTTACAGCCATGAGCCATTGGCCACCCCCGGCCTTTTTTTTTTTTTCTTCCCTCAGAAATAAAGCTTATTTGGTACATAAAAAAATTAAATAATATAAAATGCAGCAAATGAAAAATAAAAAGCTTCTTCTTTATCTACATTTCTAGCTTTTGATAGTTAATTGGAGATGAAAATTTCAGGCTTTTCCTGCCCAGGCTAGCTTTGAACCATGATCTTCAGCTCTCAGCCTGAGTAGGACTACAAGTGTGAGGCACCATTGACTGGCTAGTTTTTTTGTTTTTTGGATCTAGTCATGGGCCTGAACTCTGGGCCTGGGCGCTGTCCCTCAGCTCTTCAAATCAAGGCAAGTGCTCTGCCACTTGAGCCACAGCGCCACTTCCGGCTTTTTTTTCCCTGCTTATGTGGTGCTGAGGAATTGAACCCAGGGCCTCATGCATGCAAGGCAAGCGCTCTACCACTGAGCCACCTTCCCAGCCCCGACTGGCTAGTTTTTTATTTTTATTTTTGCTAATCTTGGGTCTTGAATTCAGCCTAGGAACTGTCCCTGAGCTTTTGTGCTCAAGGCTAGCACTCTACTATTTGAGCCAAAGCTCCACTTCTGGCATTTTGTGATTAGTGGAGATAAAAGTTTCATGGACTTTTTTGCCCAGTCTGGCTTCAAATCACAATCTCAAATCTCAGCCTCCTAAATAGGATTATAAGTCTGAGCCACTGGCGCCTGACTAGCTTTTGATTTTTAGTGAATCAAATCTGTATGCATAAACCCCTGGGTTCTCCTGTCTACTTCTCTTAGCAGCTAGTTATAGTTTATTAATGGAGGAGTTCAGCTTTCAGAAGAGCTTACTGCTTTGGAGGGTTGAAAGTCTCTAACACAAGTAACATTATAAGCTTTGAGAAATAAACTGATTCAATACTAGGGCCAGGTAACTGCTGCTTTTTTTCCTAACCTCTATGCTTTATTCTTTCCTTGTAGTGGCTATGATTTTGGCTACATGGTAAAATTGCTTACAGATTCTCGTTTGCCAGAAGAAGAACATGAATTTTTTCATATTCTGAATCTTTTCTTCCCATCTATTTATGATGTGAAGTACCTGATGAAGAGTTGTAAAAACCTTAAGGTATGCGATATTTTTCTCAGTACTAACCAAAACAAAAAAGTATGCTTGTTGGGTGCCAGTGGTTCACACCTATAGTCCTACTCAGAACTCTTAGATCTGAGGAACACAGTTCAAAACTAACCTGGACAAGAAAGTCTGTGTGAAACTCTTACCTCCAGTTAACCACAAATACAGCACAAAAGTCAAAAGTGGAACTGTGGCTCAAGTGTTAGAGCTTCAGCCTTGAGTGAAAGCTAAGGGACAGTGCTTAGGCCCTGAGTTCAAACATCAGTACTGGGGTGTACCCCCTCTTGCCCGTCCCCCCTCCCCTTCTTCCCCCCTCCCCCGTAAGCTTGCCCATTTTGCTTTATTGCTTTGTGGTCAGCTTGTATTCTTTTTTTTTTTTTTTTTTTTTTTGGGTCCGGTCGTGGGGCCTGAACTCTGGGCCTGGGCGCTGTCCCTCAGCTCTTCAGCTCAAGGCTAGCGCTCTACCACTTGAGCCACAGCGCCACTTCCGGCTTTTTTCTTTTTGCTTATGTGGTGCTGAGGAATCGAACCCAGGGCCTCAGGCTTGCAAGGCAAGCGCTCTACCACTGAGCCACCTTCCCAGCCCCGTCAGCTTGTATTCTTGAGTGCCTAATAGGTGCCTGCATTGTGCTATATGAGATACTACAGAGCTGAGTGGCATAGGTGTTTGTGCAGAATTCTCTCTGCATGGTCATCTGGGCACAGAGATCACATACGTCTCTCCCATTCTAAGGCAGGCATTCTTGACTCGAGGCCCATGAACCTAGAGCTTCAGCCTTGAGTGAAAGCTAAGGGACAGTGCTTAGGCCCTGAGTTCAAACATCAGTACTGGGGTGTACCCCCTCTTGCCCGTCCCCCCTCCCCTTCTTCCCCCCTCCCCCGTAAGCTTGCCCATTTTGCTTTATTGCTTTGTGGTCAGCTTGTATTCTTTTTTTTTTTTTTTTTTTTTTTGGGTCCGGTCGTGGGGCCTGAACTCTGGGCCTGGGCGCTGTCCCTCAGCTCTTCAGCTCAAGGCTAGCGCTCTACCACTTGAGCCACAGCGCCACTTCCGGCTTTTTTCTTTTTGCTTATGTGGTGCTGAGGAATCGAACCCAGGGCCTCAGGCTTGCAAGGCAAGCGCTCTACCACTGAGCCACCTTCCCAGCCCCGTCAGCTTGTATTCTTGAGTGCCTAATAGGTGCCTGCATTGTGCTATATGAGATACTACAGAGCTGAGTGGCATAGGTGTTTGTGCAGAATTCTCTCTGCATGGTCATCTGGGCACAGAGATCACATACGTCTCTCCCATTCTAAGGCAGGCATTCTTGACTCGAGGCCCATGAACCTAGTGAAATAACTGTTCCACTAGTATGAGATGTATGTGCACTTTGATGGGCTCTGTACTGTCCAGATTCTCAATGGGGAGGGGATCCTTTTTTTTTTTTTTGTCGGTCATGGGGCTTGAACTCTGGGCCTGGGTGCTGTCCCTCAGCTCTTCAGCTCAAGGCGAGCGCTCTACCACTTGAGCTACAGCGCCACTTCCAGTTTTCTGGTGGTTTATTGGAGATAGGAGTCTCACGGTCTCTCCTGCCCCGGCTGGCTTTGAACCGCGATCCTCAGATCTCAGCCTCCTGAGTAGCTAGGATTACAGGTGTGAGCCACCAGTGCCCAGCTTTTTTTTTTCCCCCCCCTTTATTACTGGGGTTTAAACTAGGGCCAAATGCTTGCTAGGCAGGTGAAAAAGTCTTAGTTCTAGAAAGTTTGAAAGATCACTGTAATAAACTGTGTCGGTGATTTGCTGGCTAGGTTGGAACTGGCATTTATCATTACTTCAGCCTGTTTTTATAGTAGTTTTGATTTTAAAGGGCTGAGTTTTAGCAGAGATAATAGTATAGAAGAGAAAGAGGGGCTGGGAAGGTGGCTTAGTGGTAGAGTGCTTGCCTTGCATGCATGAGGCCCTGGGTTTGATTCCTCAGCATCACATAAGTAGAAAAAGCCTGAAGTGGTGCTGTGGCTCAAAGTGGTAGAGCACTAGCCTTGATCTGAAGAGCTGAGGGACAGCGCCCAGGCCCAGAGTTGAGGCCCCCTGACCTACAAAAAAAAAGAAAAAAAAAAGGTAAATGGGTGCCATTGGCTTGCATCAGTAATCCTAGCTATTCAGTTGAGATCTGAGAATCTCAGTTTGAAGTCAGCTTGGAAGACAACTCTGAGACTCCTACGTCCACTTGTAAAAAGCCGAAAGATATGGCACAAATGGTAGAGAGCACTAGCCTTGTGCGAAAAAGCCATGCAAGAGCACAAGTCCCTGAGTTCCAACCACAGTTGGAAGTAAAAAGCAGCGTGTAGCATAATGCATTATTTAGAGGAGAGAAGGCCTTTTTAAAAGATGGGTTTTGAGGCCTGTTAAAATTAGCGCACCCCCCTTATTAAGTAAACTCACAAGTGGATTTAGTTGAGACTAGTAGAATAGTGTTGGGTGGTAGCAGTGTCTGTTTTCACCCATCTCCAGGGAGGTCTTCAGGAGGTTGCTGATCAGTTGGACTTGCAGAGGATTGGAAGGCAGCACCAGGCAGGTTCAGACTCCCTGCTGACTGGAATGGCATTCTTCAGGATGAAAGAGGTAAGCTCTGTCGCATGGGGGAGATTTTTGAAGAGACTCGCCGTGCAGAATATGGGTGACCTTTGTTAGTGGAGGTTTGTCAACCATGTATAGTGTGTTGGAAGTTGATGGCACTTTGAAAGCAGTTGTGTTAGCTGACTGTGGGATGACGACATATCATCTGTAGTTTGAGAGTCAAAAGAGGCATTTGCAAGTGGAGTTGCTTCAAAATATGTATTCTGTAGCATACTCAGGTCTAGTTTATGTACTTGGTATATAATCTGCTCTAATAATTTCATTTGTATTTCTGATTTTCTTTCTTTCTTTCTTGGTCAGTTCTAGGGCTTGAATTTTGGGCCTAGGTGCTGTCCTTCAGCCCTTCAGCTCAAGGCAAGCACTCTACCACTTGAGCCACAGCGCCACTTTGGTTTTCTGGTGGTTCACTGGAGATAAGAATATCATACTTTCTTGCCAGCTCTGGCTTTGAATCACGATCCTCAGATCTCAGCTTCCTGAGTAGCTAGGGTTATAGGTGTGAGCCACCAGCAGCTAGCTCTTCTGATTTTCATACTAAAATTCCATGTTAACTGTAACTCATTCTTGAGAACTGAATTTCTCTTTTAGTTTTTTTTTTTTTTTTTTGGTCGGTCGTGAGGCCTGAACTCTAGGCCTGGGCGCTGTCCCTCAGCTCTTCAGCTCAAGACTAGCACTCTACCACTTGAGCCACAGCGCCACTTCTGGCTTTTTTCTTTTTGCTTATGTGGTGCTGAGGAATTGAACCCAGGGCCTCAGGCATGCAAGGCAAGTGCTCTACCACTGAGCCACCTTCCCCACCCCTCTTTTAGTTTTTTTGTTTTTTGTTTTTGCCAGTCCCAGGGCTTGAACTCAGGGGCTGGATACTGTCCCTGAGCTTCTTTTGCTCAAGGCTAACACTCTACCTCTTGAGCCACAGTATCACTTCTGGCTTTTTCTGTGTGTATGGTACTGAGGAATTGAACCCTGGGCTTCATCAATGCTAGGAAAGCACTCTACCACTAAGCCACATTCCTAGCCCTTAGTGTCTTTATATACCTATTATCTTAAAATTTGAAGAAATAAGCAAAATTCAAATGATTTTATGACACCTTTGAGGAATGGGCCCCAGAATATCTGATGTGTAGACATAGATCTCATTAGAGGAAAGGACTAGTATGTGTCCCTTTTAATTCCCCTCCCCCCGCCCCAGTCATAGGGCTTGAACTTGGGGCTTGGGTGCTGTCCCTGAGCTGTTTTGCTCAAGGCTAGTACTCTACCACTTTGAGCCACAGTTCTATGCTGTACCACCTTGAACCACAGTTCCACATCTGGTTTTCTGGTGGTTAATTGGAGGTAAGAATCTCACAGACTTTCCTGCCTGGGCTGGCTTCAGACTGTGATCCTCAAATCTTAACCTTCTATATAGCTACGATTATAGCTGTGAGCCACCAGGCCAACTTCCCTTTGTTATTCCTAGACATAAACCACAATTGTTACCCACTACCACCAGCTGATAGTTCTGTTATTTAACATTCTCTACCGTGCCAGAATACCCGAGATTGTTTATGGCTATAATCCTAGCTTCTCAGGAGGTTGAGATCTAAAAATCATGGTTCAAAGCCAGCTCAGGCAGTAAAGTTTATGAGACTCTAATCTCTAATAAACCGCCAAAAAGTGAAACTGGCTGGTTAGTGGTTTTGTTAATGGGTACATTGATAATATGTGGATACTGTCCTGCCTGATGAGACCAAAGTTGAGATCTGGAGCTGGAAGGGGATAATGCCTATTATCTCATTTCTCCTAGCAACCATATTATCATCACCCAGATACCCCCACCCCCGACCTTGCTGCTTTTGAAATAGGTCTGGCCTTGTTCTCAGGGTGGCGTTGAAGTTGTGACTGGGCCTCCAAGCCTGGTTTATATGACCTCATTTTACACATCAGGTAGTGTGGAAGTGACATTGTTTGGGCTACATAGTAAGTCAGGCTGGATCCAGAGATCCAGCTCTAACCACTGCCTTCCTGTGGAGCAGGGGCAGCTGTTGTAAACAGTTGCGGCACAGAGATCCTGGTATTGAAAGAATTCATGGAGAGCCTATGTTTAGAGAAAGGAGTGTAAAAAGACTATCCGAAATATTTGGAGGCTGTTCTTTTGCTGAGTTAGATTCTGGTTGGTGGGCTTTCCAGAGGGAAGGTGTGATTTGGCTATGTTTAGATGCTGTGACTCCTGGCCTGATTGTCTGTCCTATCCCACAGCTGTTTTTTGAGGACAGTATTGATGATGCCAAGTACTGTGGGCGGCTGTATGGTCTTGGCACGGGTGTGGCCCAGAAGCAGAACGACGATTCGGACTCTGCTCAGGAGAAGATGAGCATCCTGGCAATCATCAACAACATGCAGCAGTGATGGCTGCAGTTCTACCCTGCAAGGGTGGGCCTGTCCCCGAATGGTGCTTCCTGTACTGACTCTTACCTTCCCCAAGAGAAACGCTTCTTTTGAGCAAACTATACCTACCATCTGCACTGAGCAGAAAGACTTTTGTTTTATTGAAGACAAAGATGTCTTTATTTTAGATCCAGAAGAGGGGAACTTGCTCTGAATTTGTAAATAGTTCGTCCTCATTCCTCACCCCATGCCGCTTCTCTCTGGTTGCCTCCTGCCACCAGCATCCACAGCTCACTGACACCTTTTTATATACCCAGGACAAGTCCGAAACAAACAAGTAAAATGTATAGAACTCTTATTTGTTGTCATTCTTTTTTCTTTTTAACTTTGTTGCTAATCTCTGATGAAGATTCTGATTCTCAGCTAAGCTGAGGGCTTCTAGGGAAAATGGCATAGAACTGTGTTCTCAGGAAGCGAGTTACAGAAATTGAGTCTTTGCCTTTCCTCTTCTGTCACTTCCCAAAGACATTTGTTTTTTTCTTACACTTCGGTAGTCTGTCTTTATGGAAATGAATTGCTTCTATACTGATGCATAAAGACAGTTCTACTGAATCTGTCTGTCCTTCATTTGTGGCCAACTCCAGAATGGGTATTAAGGTGACTGAAGCATCTTAATGTCTGAGCTCCAAGGTGCCACTATTTGCTGTTGCTTAATGTATCATCTGAAGTCATTTAAAGCTGTTAAACAATAAAATAGCCTGGGCTTGATCCTGAAGGAAATGAATAAGCTCAAACTTTGGGGTGTTAAGCCTGTAATTTTTCAGTTATGTGATGTCAGAGGTAAGTGGCATTCTCCTAGCACGTCTCCCTTTTCCCTGCCTTTCTGAAAGTCCAGCAAATCTGAGAAAATAGGGGGATGGATGAATGAATGCATCAGGAATGGGAGCCCAGAAAAGCTAGTTACTTGTAAAAGGCAAACAGTCATTTGGTTTTGAGAGATCTCTTGGAGTCATTAATATCCCACACTGGGGTAGGAAGCTCAGGACTTTGTTTTATTAAGAACTAGTCATTTCAAAAGTAAATGGCTACTGAATGGACAAATTTGACAAATACTCTTTGGAGTGGTAGAAAAATGGTGACTCACTGAAGTGAATGACTTGTCTTGCAATTTTAAAAGCTTATGGAAAACTTAATTTGAAGTGATTAAAAAATGTCAAGTATTATCAGCTGATATTTGAAATGCTTGTAAATGTTATTTATGTTTTTAATTTTGTAAATAAAGATTTCTTTTTAACCACTGGCATAAAGATTTGGTATTTCCTGGCTGTGAATTGATGGCTCTGGAAAGTGGTGTGGTTCAGGTCTCCATTGTCACATTGGAACATGCAGGGAACTTTCTTTTTTAGGTCTAAGACTAGGATTTGAGTTCAGTACCTGTTGCTTTAGCTCATTGGCTAGCACTCTATCAACTGAGTTAAGTCTCCAACTTTGGTAGGGAACTTTTAATGAACACTTGAGTAAGTGTACTTCTTTCTTTGAAAGAAAGCAGTTGCATTTTATTATTTGGGCCTATTTATGGATTAACTTGGTGTAATTTTTTAGGACAAATTGAATTTCAGCTTAGATTTGGCTTAAGACTTCACTTCTAGTCATTCATTCTACCATTCTTTTTCTTTTTTTTTTGTCGGTCGTGGGACTTGAACTCTGGGCCTGGGCGCTGTCCCTCAGCTCTTCAGCTCAAGGCGAGCGCTCTACCACTTGAGCTACAGCGCCACTTCCGGTTTTCTGGTGGTTTATTGGAGATAGGAGTCTCACGGTCTCTCCTGCCCAGGCTGACTTTGAACCGCAATCCTTAGATCTCAGCCTCCTGAGTAGCTAGGATTACAGGCGTGAGCCACCAGCGCCCGGCTCATTCTACCATTCTTGTGCCAGTCCTGGAGCTTGAGCTGAGGGTCTGGATGCTGTCTCTGAGCTGCTTTTTGTTTAAGGGTAGTGCTCTACCACTTGAGCTATAGTTCCACTTTTGGATTTTTGATGGTTTGCTGGAGACGAGAGTTGTAGACTTTGTTTCCTGGGCTGGCTTTGAACTGTGATTCTCAGATCTCAGCCTCTGGAATAGCTAGGATTACCCACATGGGCCACTGCACCCAGTTTATCTATCTTTGTGCCAGTACTGGGGGCTTGAATGGCCACTCTTATCATTTGAGCCAAAGCTCAGTCTGACTTTTTTTGGCCAGTCCTGGGATTTGAACTCAGGGCCTGGGCACTGTCCCTAAGCTTCTATTTTGCTCCAGACTAGTGCTCTACCACTTAAGCCACAGTGTCATTTCTAGCTTTTTCTCTTTATGAAGAATTGAACCCAGGGCTTCATGCATGGTAGGCAAACATTCTTACCACTAAGCCATTTTTTTCTTTTTTTAAAAAATTATTTTTAAAAATTTTGGTTGGTTCTGGGGCCCGAACTCTGGGCCTGGGTGCTGCCCCTCAGCTCAAGGTTAGCACTCTACCACTTGAGCCACAGCACCACTTCCAGCTTTTTCTGCTTATGTGGTGCTGAGGAATCGAACCCAGGGCCTCATGCATGCAAGGCAAGTGCTCTACCACTGAGCCACCTTCCCAGTCCCATAAGCCATTTTTTTTTTCTTTTTCATTTTTTTTTCTTTTTGGCCAGTTGTGAGGCTTGAACTTGGCCTGGGTACTGTCCTTGAGCATTTCAGCTCAAGGCAAGCATTCTACTATTTGAGTCACAGCGCCACTTACAGTTTTCTGGTGGTTTATTGGACTTTCCTGCCTGGACAGGCTTTAAACTGTAATCCTCAGATCTCAGTCTACTGAGTAGCTAGGATTACAGGCATGAACTACCAGTGCCTGGCTTGTGTCTGGCTTCTTGATTATTCCCGAAATAAGTTTCGGGAATTTTTCTGCCCATGGTAGCTTTAAATCACTATTCTTAGACCTGAGTTTCCCGAGTAGCTAGGAGTAGCTGGTTGCTCACACCCAGCTTGGCCTTTTCTTTTAAATAAAACCTAGGGCTGTAAGGTACAGAAGTTGATCAGTAGTTTACTTTTTTTTGGAGGGGGTGGAGCACGATCCTTGTATGGCTCCAACTTGGCCTGGATACTGTCCCTGAGCTATTTTTGCTCATTAATAGCATTATACCACTTGAGCCATAGCACCGCTTTCAGATTGTTAGTGGTAGTTGGAGATTAGTCTCATAGTTTCCTGTCCAGGCTGGCTTTGAATCATGATCCTCAGATCCTAGGTAGGATTATAGGTGTGAGCCACCAGCACCTGGCTTAATTTACTTTTTTAAAAAGGTTCTAGCTGGGCATGAGTAGCTCACACCTGTAATCCTAGCTACTCAGGAGGCTGAGATCTGAGGATTGTGGTTTGAAGCCAGACAATTCAGACAAGTTATCTCCAAAAATCATTCAGAAAAAGCCTGAAAGGGGGTTGGGGGGAGGAGTTGGGAAGGGAAAGGATGTGGAGAAACAAAGGAGGAGGTAACAATGCTTGATAGGAAATGTACTCATTACCTTACTCATGTAACTAACCCCTCTGTACAGTATCTTTACAATAAAAAATATATACAAAAAAAAAAAAGGCTTAAGTAGCTCATGTAGTAGAGCACTAGCCTTGAACACAAAGAGGCTCAGGGACAACTCATGCCTTGAGTTCAAGCTCCAGGACCAGCAGCAAAAAATCCCAACAAACTACTCTTCCCCTGCCCCCCAGTCCTGGGGCTTGAACTCAGGGTCTCTATCCTGAACTGCTTTTGCTCAAGGTTAGTGCTCTACCACTTGGGCCACAGTACCACTTCCAGCTTTTTCTGAGTAGTTTACTAGAGATAAGAGGCTCACAAGCTGGCACCCGTGGTTCACACCTGTAATCCCAGCTACTCAGGAAGGAAGCTGAGATCTGAGAATCACAGTTGGAAGCCAGCCTGAGCAAAAAAGTCCTTGGGAGGTGCTGGGAAGGTGGCTCAGTGGTAGAGTGCTTGCCTTGCATGCATGAGGCCCTGGGTTCGATTCCTCAGCCCCATATAAGCAGAAAAACCTGGAAGTGGCACTGTGGCTCAAGTGGTAGAGCACTAGCCTTGAGCTGAAGAGCTGAGGGACAGAGCCCAGGCCCAGTTCAGGTCCCACAACCAGAAAAAAAAAAAAGTCCTTGTGAGACTCTTATCTCCAATTAACTACTCAAAAACTGGAAATGGTGCTGTGGCTCAAAGTGGTAGAGCGCTATCTTTGAGCAAGAGCTCAGGGACAGTGCTTAGACCCTGAGTTCAAGCCCCATAATTGACCAAAAAACAAAAAGTTCTGTTTTTTTCTGTTTGAGTTGGCTTTGAACTGTGAACCTCAGATCTCAGTCTCCTGAGCAGCTAGGATTATCAGTACCCGGCTAAAGGACAGGTTCTTAGGTTACCCAGATTGGCCTTGAACTCCTGAGTTTTAAACCATCTTCCTGCCTTAACCTCTCTTAAATAGCTAGGACTATTGGCATATATTGAACCCAACCAATAAATCTATGATTTTAGCCTTTTTTTTGTGTGTGTTTTATGAGTAACGTTACCATTAAGAGTTGTGATTTTCAACAAAGGTGCATGCTGGTGATAGCCAGCTGGGAATTTAGGTTTTCTGTAATTGAAGAGACATCAGGGAATCCTAGGACGAAGGGTTGAACTCTGTGGAATGAGGGATCTGGTCATTGCATGGGAGAGAAGATAGACAGCTTATTAAAGTAATTCTAAAGGAAGCAGCAATGGATGACAAATGGCAAGAACTTGATGTGTGTGTGTTTGCATGCAGGGCTGTATAAATGGGTCTCTTTGAAAAGGATAACACTGAAGGCAGATGAATAATGAGTGCAGTTTAGTCCTATATACACTGACAAATGGTCTTCAATTCCAGTGTTGTCAGTCTGGTAAGATGATAAGCCTAGTTGTCAGTCAGTACTGGTATGAATTGTCTCTAGATTCCAAGCTATCAATGAGTTGTTCTTTGTCAGTTGTGGGGCTTGGGTGTTGTCCCTTCTTTTTGTGCTCTACCACTTGAGCCACAACTCCGCTTCCGGTTTTTGGTGGTTAATTGGTGGTTAAGAGTCTCATGGCATGACTATCCTGCTTGGGCTGGCTTTGAACTGTGATTCTCAGATCCCAGCCTTCTGAGTAGCTAGGCATGAGCCACCAGTGCCCAACTCAGGAAGTATTTTCATTTCCTATTTTAGTTAATTTTTATTAAGCACTCACATAAGTAGGTGCTAGAGAAAGATAAATAGAAGTCCCGTCCCAATCTACAGTGAGTTTACAATCTGGTGTATATGTGTATTTTTCAGTACCAGACCAGAACTTGGTGCCTGATGGTTTTGCTCATTGGCTAGCACTCTACCAACTGAGCCATGCTCCAACTCCTACCTGTAATAATACAAATACAACTTGAACTAAGGTTAAGCTACAGTATATATTTGTGTGTGTGTGTATATGCTGGTATTGGGGCTTGAATGCAGAGCCTGGGCACTGTCCCTTAGCTTTTTTTTTTTTTTTTTTTTGGCATAATGCTGATGTTCTATCACTTGAGCCATAACTTCTGGGTTTTTTTTGGTCTGAGACCAGGATGTGAACTTGGTATCTGATGCTTTTGCTCACTGGCTAGCACTCTACTGAGCCATACTTCCAACCCCTCCCCGCCCCTTTCTGGCTTTTTGGTGGTTAATTAGCAATAAGAGTAGGGTAGGGTGGGAAGGTGGCTCAGTGGTAGAATGTTACATGAGGCCCTGGGTTCGATTCCTCAGCACCACATAAGCAGAAAAAGCTGTTAAGTGGTGCTGTGGCTCAAGAGATAGACTGCTAGCCTTGAGTTGAAGAGCTGAGGGACAGTGCCTAGGCCCAGAGTTCAGGCCCTACAACCTCCCCCCCCCCCCCCCCCTTCCACACACACACAGAAGGGAATTAAACTGGACTTACACCTAGTCACTGTCAGGTGGAGAATGGGAAATTAGGAATGATTAGCTCCAGAGACATACTGGGAGCTGGACTAGACATGGGGGTAACTAATTGGTGAAGTGGTGGTTTTTTGTTTTTTTTTTTGTCCTTGTCCTGGGGCTTGACAAATTCAGAGCCTCAAACTTTTGTGCTCAAGGCTATCATTTGAGCCACAGCTACACTTCAAGCTTTTTGGTTAATTGGAGACGAGTCTCACGATTTTTCTGCTCAAGCTGTCTTTGAATGTGATCTTCAAATCCCAGTATCTGGCGGATTGGTTAATGAAATGGTAGTTTTATTTCTTTGGATATGGTTCAAGG